GTAGGAAACATTCTAAGGTTTTAGCTTTCTAGCTTTTCTCGTTTCCGAGTTATCAGCTTCCTTGCTAGGATTTTCATGTGCCCGTATGTAACTTCCGGGTGGCTTGAAGGAGCTGAATTTGAAATCCTTTGGTCGTACGTGAGTATTGAACATTGCCGTGACGTTTCAGCCTTCTAGCTTTTCTCGTTCCCGGGTTAGTAATTTTCCCGCTAAAATTTTTGCGCGCCCGCACGCGGGACTCAAACGTGCGTAAAGGTTGGCACCGCGGTCCTAGTTGGCCGGGGAGCCAACTGGTAAAATTCAGGCGCCGGAGCTTGCTTGGTTGTCGAATTGAAATGCCCGGACAGACAAACTCAGACAGGGTCGTTGCAGTATGCGTTTTTGCAATTTGCATAGTGCAAAAACGCATAATTACTACTTCAGTGTGGCTACTTTTGGCAGTATAGCAGCAAGTATGGCCGAGTTGAAATGAGAGCCCTGGTAGTTTTTGCCAGCTGCGCAAATTCCTTGTCATGTGTTTGCTTGGGTAAGCCTGGCTGAGGTGCTGCACTGGCTTTTAAACAAATTGGTTAGGCAGGCATAGCAACAAAGTCAAATCACGTAGCTGTGCATGCATAAACATTTATCTTCTGCTTATCGCCTGGTTTTGACTATTAACAGCTGCACGGAAGGTAAACGTTTCAGAATGGTTTTGGTTATTTACTGTTGATTCAGATCTATCAAACACGCAGTCTTTTATCGAGCAGTCAGTTTGTTGTGAATCGAGTTGCATGGCCAAACTCAGCAAGCTAGAACCAACGTAGTGTCAAAATTGTTTCTGTGTTTTGTTGTGCTGACAGTGTGGTACGACGTATCAGCGTACCAGTCATTTAATTCGTTTCTGGCTTACATTTCAAAAAATCCATAAAAATGAGGACCAGGAACTAAGCTAGGGCTGCTCTCACTAAAAGGACAGTCAGTGAACCACAGCCATGCTCTCTTCGCTGTCTCAGAAAATGAGAATTTACGACTACTAAAAAAACATGAAATCAGTTTTAGACGGCCAGGGCGCGTTTTGCCGTACGTTCCACGAACATTACAGGATGAAGGAGCGACCCGTTTACTAACACGCACGTATACATTGGACGGACACTCTCGAACGGTGCTTTCGGTGAATGCTAACGGCGCGGTAGTGATTAGCGGTTCAAAAGGTTTTTGACAGCAAATTTTGAATGCTTACCAGCCTAAAAGAACTATCAGTTTTTTCTGTTTTTTTTTTTTGGAATGTATGCAGTTTCATTTCCGGTGTGAACGACTCGTTCCAAAATAACATAATTTTTTTAAGATAGAACGGCAAAAGTATGGGACCTTGAAAAAAGCGTTGAAAAATGCACATTTGGTCTTCACCCAAACAACGTTTCATGTGTCCGTTTTATTCCGGCTAGTCAAATGGCTCTGACGGTTTCGCTGGCCACTGTTCGTATTTGGGATCTGAGAAGCGAAGAATGCGTACGTACACTGAATTCATCGGGTCTGGCGGCTGCGGGTAAGCAGCGCATGCTTTGTACAAAAATTGTGTCTTAGTACAGCACTATGAATATGAAAAAAAAAAA